TGTTCAAAAGCAACGACCTAACATGGATAAAAGGAGTTTGTGTGACCGCGAAGCCATAACAACACGCAAACTTTCTGTGAATCAGAATGATATTCTTAGCTAACATATACAGATGAATCAAATAGATCGACTTACGTTCTTTAGATTTTTAAACAGAAACCCGTCAAATAACCAAACGCATTTCAATCCATCGGCTGTAAGTAGTATATGTCAGACCTTTTTTGATATTCTGAGAGTTGCTCTATACAAACACATATCATCGTTGTAAGAATTCGCTGATAAAATACTCCACTTTAATTGAATCTTTGATTGTGCAGAACAATCTATTGCAAACATGATTTCATCGAAAACTAGAGTCATCTACAGAATCGTTGAAAACTATATATCAACTGAAAATTCGGTCAGTCAGATGATATGATGAATTCGCCATATTCAGGCCAATTGATTAAAATGTAACAGTTTCATTTTCACGTTTTCGTTGATTCACGATAGACAATGACGATCTTTCTCTGTTGTCAGTGATAAACATTTAAGCACTTAAGCTGTATACACCTGTGTCTAACCTCACGATAGTTTACTAGAGTTTCGGTGTGTGATAATGACCATGTATAAAGTAGTTTACATTATTTGACCAGTAAGTAATGGTGAAAGTCATGCTCATATATTCTTCGTAGTGTTGAAGGTGTTGCGTCAGTCAAGCGACGATGCAAGGCTGCATCTATACATCACCGATTCTGCACCTAACGGCTGAAACTTGTAACTTAAATCTCTCCGCTTTATAGCGCGTGAATGCAATCCTATACTGACATCACCATTTCAAAAGACCGACAAATTAAATTCTATTTTACATCTCAGGTAAATACTTCAATTGAATTTTAAGCTGGTTCACCTCAGAATGATGATTACAAATATTCACAACGCTGTGTATGAAAAGTCACTAGGAACAACTCTTATACACTGAAGGGATTTAATCGACAAAACCCTATTCAACTTCACTGATCCTAAGGAAAAATCAACATTTGAAGATTGGATTGAGTTTTCTGATACAGTTCAACATGGAGAGCGTTCTCAAGCTACACTCGTACCACTTGCTGCAATTGTACATTTTATTTATAAGTATTGTTTAACTACTAATCTGTATAGAATTTCCAAAGAGCATTATTCTTCAATCTACCCAACGCATATTCAAAACGACCACGTTTTGCTGGTTCCACAGGTTATATTATCTTCGGGATTAGCCAACCTATGATTGTTAAGTTGGTCTTCATTGACAAGGTTAAAATTTTAGGTTCAAACTGATCTTCTATGATAAATGTTCGGATATACAAAAATTGTGAACCATATGAGTCAAATTTCAAGTTAATATAAAATTCAACTGTGTTGAATAGCTTGATGTACTTTCTATGAAATTTTTATAGATATCTGGAATACGACAACCAACAGAACTGCTATTTAGAAACTCTTCACGACACTTGCACAGAAGACAGAAGTGTAATCCAACGCGTTAAGGTTCAAATCATCTATCTCGATTCGTTATTCAAGCACAGATAGGTAGAAATGGTCCGAAAAACAATTTAGTCGAGTTTTCTTCGAAATATTTACTATTTCAATATATAACTAAGAGGAACTAACAGTTTGAGGAAATATAGTTTATAGAAACTTTGAACTAATTGAAACTATGATTATTTTAGTTAGTATTAGGTAGATTTGTTAATAAATATCGCATGTTTACCTGCAGACCTTGAATGTTTTATTGAGTTCGTTGAAATTCACATGAGAATCATCGAACATAACTGATGTCAATGAGGTGTTTGATTGAAAGCATATTGAGAATATTTTCTCAATAACTAGAAACTGACAACCGGCCGTTTTACACAAACCGACTAACGCTTTCTTACAAGCTTTAAACTAATTGATAAATTTTTAATAACACAAAGTTCAGCAAAGAGATCTCTTTTCAACGAAACTATAATCACGCGGTTCAATCGCACATTTATACGTAAGACGGCCATTTTTTCTAGAATAAGAGTTTCGCGAGTACACATTAACAGGTAATTATTGAGATGATGAAATCAAAAGATTATAATGCTAGATTACGTAATTTATATAATTACAGTAGTCTTAATAAGTTGGTAACGAAGCACAACGTGAGTGCAGTAAGATTAGTGAAATGTTTTCTTTACAATTATTATTATTATTGTTATTATACACAAACATCTTATGGGTACATAAGTGTTGTGAAGAAACCATTTCGGGTTTAGGAATAAAATATGTTTAGAAGGAAAAGAAAAGGCGAAAAGAATATATGGTATGTCGAGGGAAGAATAAAGCAATTATTATATATTAAGTAGAATAGAAAGAGAAAAAAAGAACGTAGACGTGAAAAGTTACAAAGGTCGCACTTTGCTTTTCATTCAATTAGATAGATGATGGGCCTGATTTGTACAAATCGTTATTAAACTTATTGATATTCAACAGGTGAGACCATCTAATTTCAGAAAGGAAATCATTAAGGAGACTTTTGAACTGGGCTGTAATTTTACTGCAGCGGGGGTTCACTGGCAGTCTGTTCCACATGGTTGAGTAGCAAATAACAAGAAATGTCTGGCGTAAGTTTATTTAGGTTCTTGCAATCGCTTGAATATTCTCCTTATTGTGTGCCAAGAAGCAAGAAATACTGTTAACAAACCGGTGGACCAAGAAAAAGTTTAATTTGACACGTCTTTTTCAGTGAGATTCTAGTCGTAGTTGTTGGCGTCTTCGGTGATAGTCCTTGTTGGAATACTCTAAAATAGTTTTAGTGATACTTTTTTGAACACATTCAGTTTCAGTAAGGTCGTTATGGCTGCACCACATTCGCAGGTTTCGAGTAGCAAGATCCATAGTGGACGATTCGGCTACGTTCTTCTAAAAACTATTTGAGCAAAGATAAAAGGGGATTATGCATGCCAGAACAAGAGCATTTTGGAAGAAGACGCTTGTGTGAGACACTGTCGAAAGCCTTACGAAAATAGAAGTACAGAATTATCACTGACTGACCAACATCTCTTCTCTAAGTAATTTGATCAAAAAATTCCAGGTGCGATATGAGGCATAAGCATTTGGTCATAAACCCGTGTTGCGAAGGACTAACTAGTTTATCTGAATGTAAAAACGATAATAGCTGTTTGTGGATGATTTTTTCCGTGATTCTTTACAGCACAGATTTCAAATTAATCGGCCTATATTGAACAATATCACAACATGATCCTGTTTCGGATTCAAAAGTGGTAAGAGATGTTTTGCATACAGTTGAATTGGACCTATATTCCATAGATAAATTGAAAGGTTTTAAACAAAAATAATAGGAGTTCTCTACAACAATATTTCACAAATGATGACCGAATCTTATTAGGTCCATCGTTATAAGACTTTTTCAGGGCAGTTAATGCATGCGTGATGTTGTAGGCTATGAAATCAATTTTCGATAGGCATCGGGATGTTAGCATTAGAAATGTATTGATAGAATTTTCAGTTCCAGTGTTGGATGAATTGTTCGAAAATAATATCAGGGTCGTCAACAATGTTTCCGTTAACTACGAAGAATTCAGTCGTGCCAATAGCATTTGATTTCACACGGGATTAAAAAAAACGACCTTTTGATAACCCTGGCCTTTTTGGCCTAGGGGTTTTTTCTATGTTCATGTTATGCAGTTATCGCTGGATGTATTGCAGATCAATGAAGTTGAAGTGACTATATATCAACAAATACATATGATAACCTATTTGATATGGTATTCAAACAAGTATCGGATAGTGGTCTTATCATAATGAACATTGTTAATTTGTTGATCTTTGATAGTTATGTGGTGGTAACAGTGGTGAGTTTACATTGTCTACTTTTTGTGATCTATTAAAGCCGAGATCAACAACATTACCAGGTTGGCTTTTGACAGTTCATATTATAAACCACTTTTGATTCTCAATACTGCACCACCATCATCCTATGCCAGTGGTGAACGCCTCTAAATATTGATGACGCAGGACTCTTCAGCAATGCTTACCAACTGTATTGCTTGTCGGACTCGAAACCATGAACTTTGATGTGGTGCACAAGCGCTTAACCTGTAGACCACTGAGTCTGCATTCAAGAGCCGAAATGGCTGCCCAGTGCTTTCAAATTCTCAATCGTGGTTTAGCTAAGACCAATTCATGAATTTGACTTTGAACATACTAAAATATACACAAACCAATTTTTTTTATTAATCACAAGCCCACTAGTAGCTAACTTCAACATATAACTCCTCGAGTTATGATGTAAAGAATTGATTAGTGTAGTCCAATCCGTGTCGAATGTCAGACAATTTTCCACCTTCCACAATAGATATAAGGTTGTACAATAATATAGATTGATTAAAGTTTGACAATAACACCATTGAATGAAAAAACTCAGCGGTCTATAGGACAGACGTTCACGTGCAAGATCCAAGATCCTGTGTTGGGTTTCTACTTGCAGGACTGTGTGTTCGCATTGCTGGAGTGTTGCACATCAGGTCGAATCACCCATCCAGTGCTATTGTGTTTGTAATGGTTGTTAAACTTAGATCAACTCGTGAACTTTGTATTTTTAGAATGTAAAAAAATTCAGTTTCTGCATAATTTAGGCAAAGAAAGAGAATTCACCATTATCATGGTAATAAACTTTTAATCCAAATTTCACTCGATATTTTGTCTGTCCTGATTTAAAATGATGATGTACAGTGTAGGAAATAATGGGCTATAAAAATATTTTACTTATAAAATATTACGGATTATTTGAAATGAAAAATTTCAAAGCCACTATTCGATAAACCTGACCTATGTTAATACTTCGGGAAAAATCTTTAATTATATACCATAAATCGAAAGATAAGAGCAGAAGTAACTTTGCTCAGATGACGAAATGATTACAAAGATTAATGGACATAATCGAAAACTAAAATAAATAAGACCCTTTGTATAAGATACCCATATTTGTTTTTATGAACAATAAGAACAATAACAAGTTATCAAATGTGTATTGTTTCATTGTTGTAATAAATTCATTTTACTTTTCAGATTTGCAGGATTCTGAAGTTCAATCCTATGTTACTCTTCCTATCCCTTCTAGTACATCAGTTAATGTTAAATGTGATTATACACTTTCCTCAAATGTGACAAATATCACTGAGTTACACAAGTATAATTCAAATGCTTACGATCAAAAATTCGTTAATGATACAATAACCACTTGGGAGTTAGTAATAAATTCATTTGATCAGCCAAAGCCGAAGAGGTTCACTGACCCTGATGTAAGCAAAACAATAATTGATTGTCAAATAGTAGTTCAACAACAACATCGTGACAAAAGACCGGTTGATTACGATTTTGATATTCTATTCTTCTTCTGTCTAAAGGATTGACTGTATTCTTTGTGTAACATTACAGACGCCGTAGCCCGAATCGGCTATTATTCTTGCGTTGTAAGAGTTTCTCAACAAAACTGGCTATTTAGAGCTGTACTCATTGTCAAGTTTCGTTCTACATCAACAGTGAACTCAAAAGTTATATAAAAAGCGATTCATGATTTGATGGTACTTTGGATTAAAACCAGAACGTTCAAAAATTGCTGTGACAGCCTGGCCTCCAGATCATTTCGTTGGAATCAAAGAGTCAATATTTCTAACTCATTAAATACTAAATTCCTGGGGTAATTTACATGGTTCTAGTGAAAACCTGTAGCCAATGCAGTCCAAACATTTTACATGTAAAATAGATATACACCAATACTCCTATATACACCCTAGATCCTAACTTCAGTCAGAAATTCTAACAATTGAACTAAAACACAAATATCTAGTGGTCCTAGGTTTGATTTCCAGTGGCGCCTTCCATCCTTCTGCACCGTACTTATTTGATATCAGTGGTTGCTTTACTACAGTTATTCTCTGAAGTGAAGCTCAAAGTAAAACTATTGAAAACCGTTCATATTTACCTAAATACTTAAAGTGATCTACCAATTTAAGTTCTTTCAGAATAAATTAAACGGAAATATCAACTGATTATTTGAATCTTACTCAACACATAAGAAACAGTGATCAGTGATAACCATTGAGTCTAATAAGATAAGCATATTTTCATCACCAGCAAAAATTAAATTACGAGCGACTTGGACCTTCATAATCACCTATAGTCCAAATGTTTTACTACATATTCACTGAGTTTATCGTGAATATATAGCTTATGTTTGATTTTAAAGTAGTGTCTACTAAATCCTTTAATTTTGAAACATTGAATAAAATGACACTTTAAATTAATCACTCTGACTGAAGTGATATACAGTTCTGTGAAGCTTTCTGCAATATTTTATGTTGCATCAATTTTAGGTAGTCTATTTCGTTCATTTATGTAGATATCTACACAATTATTGGGTTTCTTTACCTTTTTTCCTCTTTTCTCTTTTGTAAAAGAAACTCGTTGAAATACTCAAGGCTTAGATTTCTATATTGTACCAAATATATAATATTGAGTAAAGACCTTAATAATAGTATTAATCATAATTATCATCAAACAAGATTAGCTATTAAAATTCAGATGATTTCTTTCCATTAATAGCTTTTAAGCTAGTAACCGGAAACAGATTATCTAGTGGATAGTGGTAGGTGAATCTTACGAGTAGTTGGATAGTACAACCTTAGTGAATACTGAAAGATAGATCAATGTAATCAATGAAATGATATAGTAGAGTAATCACGGTTCAAATCAGTGAATGTTAACATTTCTGAAGTCAAAACTTTGACAAAATGTATTTAAAATTCTGGGAAGGAATATTACTTAGTTGGAGAATTTTTCGGAAGCAGGGAGCTGTATCTAACGTCTTTATCCTAATATCTCTTGTCACCTTAAGGTGGATTTTTAGAAGTCCATATGAGCAGTTCTAACAAGTAGAATGAACTATATCTAAAAGCACAAAATCAATGAGTAAGTGAAGTTAAAAATATGATTTGAATCTGGGTTTATTCTGTGATGGGTTCGTGAGTGTGCATTTCTAAGGCATCTCAAACTAAAAGATCAGCCAATTATCCAGGCCAACTAATATAAACTATCCATGATTATTCACACAATATTTCGGTACAAATAACAACCAACTCGATTAAAACGATTGGGATCTGTATCTAGATAAACCAGTAGATATATCTAGAAACTATCACGTAAACGCTTAACCATAAAACCACTGAACCGGCAACCCATGGTGTTAATGTCTAACTTCAACCAATCCATGAGATCCCACGCGAGACTGATAAGTTCTGTGTTCGAATCTCGTGGAAAGCGGGATCGTGGATGCGCACTGCTGAGGAGTCCCATACTAGGACGAAACAGCCTTCCAATGCTTCCAGGTTTTCCATGGTGGTCAAGCTTCAATTGACTCATGATTGCAACTTGTGAAATTTCCAAAAAATCTCCACAAAACACATTTTGATAATATTCAGTTATATTACTCTAAATGTGCATCATTCAATGAGAAAACTAATTTATATGATATCAGTTATAATTGTTTATCATTTTATCAAGAAAGTATGAACAATAGTAATAGTAGTAATACTACTAATAATAATGAATATATTGAATTCTCATATAGTCAAATACATATTTTTTGATATGCAATTCATCAGGTAAATAATAGTTTCAATGGACGTTGAATGTGCTATTCGGATAATATATCGAGCAAACTTCATAATCTTATTATTTCGGATATGCTTTATACTTGTATTGAATAACTAAAATATTATTTTAATGTGAAAGTTAAGTTCGTGAGTTAATTAAAGTTAAATCAGCATGTAAAACCTGGAAGTACTGGATGGCTAGTATAGGACTCCTCAGCAATGAGTATCCACGATCCAAAACACGGGTTTCGAACTTAGGACCTATCGGCTTCACGCATCAACACTTAACCTCTAGATCACTGAACTGGCAGGCATGCAACCGTGTTAATGTTTAACTTCAACCAATCGCCCAACTTGAGTCACCGTCCACCTTTGTCTTCAGTCAGTTACCATCTCATATCAGAATTGTTGGAATTCCACTGGGTACTGCTTCTCACTAGAACTCCACTAAATACGTCTTGAAGCCATTCAATAGTGAGCACACGATGATGATGTTGGTGATTATGAGAAGGGGTTTTGTGGAGATTTTAGTAACTTTAATAGTTGAGATCATGAGTCAATTGAAGCTAGACCTGTGAGTGCTGTACGGCCGTTTCGTCCTATACCGAGGAGTGAGCATCCACAACACCGCATCGCGAGATCCGAACATAGGATCCATCGGTTTCATGCGCCAACGTTTAACCTCTAGACCACTGAGCCGGTTTCTAATGGTGTGAATGTCTATGTTGAACCAATTCAATTATTTTATTGATTGGTTTTTCTTTGTTTAAATCTACCTGTTAATTACATTCTATTGATTGTATCGATTGATGAAACATACACATTTCTCACTTCTAAATGTTTAACGAGTTGATGGTAACTAATTGAGTAAAACAGATAATGATTTATTAGTCAGTGTAAGTATTATTGACAAAACGCATACTGATGTAAAAGTACAACTAACTAAAGAATCTTAAGTGAATAATGTATATCTCTGATATGATGGGAAAGAAAAATCAATTTTCGATTGAGTTACTCATTGAGTTTTGGTTCAACATTCAACATCCGTTTTGATTCATCATGAGGATCATTCAGTGATTTAATCCTAATTATTAATCAAAATCGGTGTACAATCAATATATAAACCAGTGTATTTTAAACTGTTTTTGACTCGTCGTTGTCATAGTGTTTTGAGGCTAATAAATCTTCACTTATACCAGTCACGAGCAGTGTGTATCCTATTTTTTAATACTTTTAACATTACTAGTCACTTACTAATAGTCAATATCTTGTTTTATGATCCCTTACTTACTTACTTGATCATAACAAGGCGGCCTGCTTGAGCATCTGGACTACCTTCACCTGCCATCTAGATATTTCAACAAGTTATCTATTTTTGTTTGTTTTAATATATCATTACGTCTACTATTCGCGTAACCTCTTCTTCTACGTTTCTAAAAAGTGTACAAACTTTCGTTGTCAAAGTTACAAAAATCCCAATAAGAGAGAATGTGGTTGCTGGCAATATACAACGGAAAGAATGTACATTATTGTTGACATCTAACTGGCAATCACCAGGAAGAAAGAAACGGAATCTTGTTGAAATACTTTGCGCTGAGAATTATATATTGCACCAAAAATGAAATAATGAATAAAGCTAATAATGATAATAATACTTACTCACGCCTGTTACTCCTAATGGAGCATAGGCCTCCGACCAGCATTCTCCAACCCACTCTGTCCTGGGCTTTTTTCTCTAGTTCCATCCAATTCTTGTTCATTTTTCTCATTTCTATTTCCATTTCCCGGCGTAATGTGTTCTTTGGTTTTCCTGTTTTCCTTTGGCCTTGAGGATTCCATGTGAGGGCTTGTGTTGTGATGCAGTTGAGTGCTTTCATCAATGTGTATCCTATCTACTTCCAGCGCTTCTTCTTAATTTCTTTCTCCGCTGGGATCTGGTTTGTTTTCTCCTACGGTACGTTGTTGTTAATCGTATTCAAAAATGATGTATTTACATTATTCTTTGAATGTTGAATAAAGTGAATTCATATACATATATATGTTATTGCCCATTATTCAGTTCATCCTTTTTGTTGTTCTTATGGTTGAAACATGATTAAAATAATAGCAACCTATATGATGTTTTCTTCATTTTCAATCAAAGAAGACAAGTAACGTTGTAGTTTATAGGTTCACTATATCAATACAAAATTTTCAAATTATTTCCTAGTGATTTTATCATATTCTATTATAAATTGTCTAACGTACGTTACATCTCAAAGCTCGTATAATATTCATACTACAAAACCGTTTGATAGACAAATATTGGCTTTTTTTTAATGGTAAGTTCCTTATGAAGTACTTCACTATGGATTTAGTATGTTAAGGTTTCAAAAAAAGTAAAATAAACAATGATTTTGTTAAAGTTTACAGGGCTAAGAACATAACAAATCAGTTGTAGAGCAGATTAATAAGTTACATTAGTGAAACTCTAATTTAGGGACGACCTTTGAACGAATTCTAAATGACCTTGACAAACGTGAGTCAATCAGAAGACAGTTAGTATAAAGTGAAAATATATTATGAGTAAGTAATGAATTACAGTGGATATTCTTCTTCTACATAATTTAAAAAATTGTTAAGGTTTGATAAGGGTTCAAAGATTCTGAATTCATAATGCATATGGTATAGAATTTCGCCCATAGGGTTAGGGTTAGGTTAGGGTTAAGTTTAGCGTTAGGTTAGGGGTTAGGGTTAGGTTAGGGTGCTAACATGCAATC